GACTAAAGGTATAATACTCAAATATTAGAGGCTGGAGCCACTGAGGGGAAGCTATGGGCATCTCCACTGTCCAAAGCTGGGTTGCAGACTTGGGAAGGGCAGGAGGGCATCTGAAGGGCCTGGTCTGGGGATCAGGGGTCCTGAGGTCAGCATGGGTAGAGGGGGTGGAACTCCAGGTCATCTCCCCATTGGCTGAGATACACTCACCCCTCCCCCACTCTCTCTGCCACTTTGCTAGGTTGAAGGGGTGGCACTAGCAGGAGCTTCCCCGTGGCTTCTCCCCTGGGGGGCTGGGCTCTGGTGGGGCCAAGTTTTGTGTCCCCCAGCCGTAGTGACCTCTCTTTGGCTCCACAGCTTCTAATATGGCTCCAGGAGGCAGGAACAGGCGGTAAGTAGCCCACCGCATTCCCTCACCCCAGCCTCCTGTCCTCGGTCCAGTGCACCTCAGGGCCCCCTGTCCCTCCCTCAGCCTTTCCTTGGTGGCAGCTGCTCCCCTGAAACTCCCTTTTTCCCACCACCCACTAGCCCAAGGGGCCCCACAAGAAGGGCCTCTCCTACCTCTTTATGTCCTTATAGTGCAGCCACGCACAGGCTAGGCCCTGGGGTGAGGGAGGCTCGGAAAGACCCGGATGAGGGTCAAGAGGTTGGTCAGTGGGTTCCAACCGCCCCTGTGTAGGTGGTGCTCAACTGGACTGAACTTGCCACCTCTCACCCTCTCAGAATCAACTCTTTTGGGGTGAAACAAGAGCCAAAGTCCTTGCAATGGTCAAGGCCCTGCCTACCTAGTCCCCTTACCTCTCTGACCTCCCTGCCCTCTGCCTCCCTACTCCAACCACACTGACCTCTTTTGCTTTCTTCAAACATACTCAGAGTCCTCCAGTGACTATTCCTTCTTCCCGAAATGCTCTTCCCGCAGTTACCCACGCAGCTCCCTCTCTCACCTCCAGCATGTCTTTGCTCAAGGGCCACCTTCTCAATGAGGTTACCATGACTGCCCTATTTGAAATCATACCTCACTCCCACCCCCTTCACTCCCAATTCCCCTTTCCTTGCTCTATTTTTTCCCATAGGACTTACAACTTTGAACATACAAGTGTACTTGCTTATTGCATTTTACTGCTGTCAGCTCCACGTGAGAGGGGATATTTGCCTGTTGGTGCACTCTTGGATCACGAGAATGAATGGTGTGCCCTCTGTACTGATGACATCGCTGTCTCCAGCCCACGTCTACTGGGCTTTAGACCCTGTTTCCAAAGACCCACTGATGTCCCACAGGCAACACAGATCTTAACTGAAAACAGCCTCGTCCATTCCCCCCAAACCCACTCCTGCTCCCATGGTCTCGGCTCATCAGGGGTCCCCTTTTCCTCAGAAGTCAAGGCCTAAAAAAAATAAAATAATAAAATAAAAAAGGGCCGGCCCGTGGCTCACTTGGGAGAGTGCGGTGCTGATAACACCAAGTCCATGGGTTTGGATCCCTATATAGGGATGGTCGGTTCGCTCACTTGGGAGAGTGTGGTGCTAACAACACCAAGTCAAGGGTTAAGATCCCTTTACTGGTCATCTTTTAAAAAAAAGAAAAAAAGGGCCGGCCTGTGGCTCACTCGGGAGAGTGCGGTGCTGATAACACCAAGGCCCCGGGTTCGGATCCCATATAGGGATGGCCGGTTCGCTCACTGGCTGAGCGTGGTGCTGACAACACCAAGTCAAGGGTTAAGATCCCCTTACCGGTCATCTTTTAAAAAAAATAAAAAGAAAGAAGAAAAGAAGTCAAGGCCACATCCTTGGTACCTTCCTCTCCCCGTGCCACACATCTAGTCACCAATCTCCTAAAATATCTAGAACGTGGGCACCTCCCACCATTTCTTCTACCTCCACCCCACTCCCCCACGGCCACTTTAGGCCACTGCCTGCCCATTCTTCAAAACTCTCTTCAGGCCTCACCTCCCACCCCTCCCAAGCTCCTGTAGTCCCAGATGTCGCCCCTCGGGTCCCTATCACTAAACGGAGCAACCCAAGGGTGGAGACTGGGGTTTGACTTTGTATCCCTGGTGCCTGACTCATAAGTAGATGCTCAACAAATGTTTGCTGAATGGATGAATGCTGGTTATCAGGTTAAGTGGTTGGTTTGAGGTTAATTGGACAGTTTATGGTTGACTGGTTAATTAGATAATTAAATGAGTTAATAGCTAGTTAATAGGAGAGTCAGTTAGTTGGTTAAGTTGCCAGATTGATTCGTTAGTCAAAGGGTTGGGGAGTTGTTAACCATTTAGTTCCTTGGTTACAGCTTACTTAGGTAATCTGGCTGGCTGTTAGTTTCCTGGTCTAGTTCTCTTGGATGCCCTCTTCTCATTCCATATCATCTCCTTGAGCTATTTCATCTACGTCCATGGCTCAGCTGACCATCTATGATTTGGTGGCCTCCCAATGTGTCTCTCTAAGCAAGACCACATGACCAGCTGCCTTTTTACTGGTCATCCCCACCCAGGGTCTTGCAGGCTCCTCAAACAACACATCCAGAGGGGCCTCCTCATGCTCCTGCCTCAATCTGCAGCTCTCTCCTGTGCCTCCTGTTGGTCTTTCCGCTGCTCTAGTCGGAACCTGAGGACATCACTGCCCCTTCCCTCTCCACTCTTCTATCCAATCAGACACGAGGCCTGTCAGTTTGGCTGTGTTCTTCTAGCCATCTGCATGGCTGCATTCTTGGCTCAGGCCAACATCACCTCTCAGCTGTGTGTGAGAAGCCTCCTGAGGCTTGCCATGCCAGCACTCCCGCTTCCTCCATCCTGGCCTCCATGGGGCAGGAAGCATTCCTGCTGAAATCTGCCACCTGGCCCCATTGCCCTCTGGTCAAGTCCACACTCCCTAACATGGGCCATGAGGCCTTCTGCCACCTGGCCCTGGCCACTTTCAATCCTTCCTCTGGTCAGCCCATCCTTGTGAAGTTCCTCTAGACATCACATACTGTCTTAGCACATGCCCTTCCTATGCCGTGAACTTCCCCCCGCCTCCCTGGATGCTCCTTTACCTGGCCAGCCTTCTATTCTTGACCTAAATTTCCCTTCCTCTGGGGGAGTTCCCACCCCCTCCTCCAGGCTATTTACTTCTGCCACATAATCCCATAATGCCCACTCTTCACTTGTGGCAACACTCATCACACTTTATAATAATTGCTTAATTGTTTTTCTTGGGCCGGCCCGTGGCTCACTCGGGAGAGTGTGGTGCTGACAACACCAAGGCCGTGGGTTCGGATCCCATATAGGGATGGCCGTTTGGCTCGTTGGGTGAGCGTGGTGCTGACAACACCAAGTCAAGGGTTAAGATCCCCTTACTGGTCATCTTTAAAAAAAAAAAAATTAATTGTTTTTCTTCCTAAGAGCCGGGATCCTACTAGTGTCCTTTATTACAGTTCCTGAGCATAGCATGCATAGTAGGCATTCAGTAAATCTTTGGTTCATTGGCTGGCTGGTAGCTATTTGTTGCTTGCTGTGTCTTGCCTGCTGTGTGGTAATGAGTAAGAACCCAGGCTTCCAGAGTTCTCCTGGTGTTCATTGCTTTCTGCTCTGTCCACCTCTCCCCTGCCTCTGTGCTACCTCCCCAGGGCTGTTCTTGGGTACCTGCTTGCATCAGGCTGCTCACAGGATTTTCAGGGCTGAGGAGACTGGTCACAGGGACTAGGGGACACCTATAGGAGGATGCACAGGAGCTGGAGTTGGATTGGGGGCCAGTGAATTGTCCAGTCAACTTTCCATCCTCCTGTATATATTTAGCTCTGGATTTGTTTCCTTGGGGTAAGGAACAGAGCAAGGACTGGGATGGGTGAGATATGAATAAAGGGTCCCAGCTAGAAGAATGGAAGGTGCTTTATTTCATGCGTGGGCATCTCTCCTCCCTCTGCCTACTTTTTGCTGCTGTGTGGCCATGGGGAATTTAGGGAGCCTGAAGAGTGATGCTGTTGTCCTTAGCAGGGTGAGGTAGTTGAAGGTCTGGTGTCAGCTTCCAGGCATTCGGATGTGGGGGAGAGGGAGTATCACCAGTCTGAACAAGCACTAAGGCCACACTTAGAGGAATCTGTACTCCTCTTCTTTCTCTTTATCCTCCAGCCCCCATCACCTTCGCCAAACTCCAGTCCTGTACCTCCCCCAACACACAGACGTTGGGACCTGTACCTCACTTTTTCATCTATTTGTCCATCCAACCATGCATTTATTAAACAAATATTTGTCAAATTCCAGATACTGTAGGAAGATCTGGAGATCTAGTCGAGGGTAAGATAGACAAATCCTCTACTTCTCATTCATTAAACAAATATTTATTGTACGTCTTCCATGTTCCTGGCACTGTGCTAGGCACGAGGATACACCAGAAAGTAAGATCCAGATCCTCCTTTTCTCTTGTTCATTCATTTCCTCACTCACAAATATCTGTTTGTGTTGGCCTGGTTGTAGAGCCTCATGCATTTTGCTGACACCTTCATCTTTGGCAGAACTAGGGGCACATATCAGGCCTCAGGGCTGTTTATAGAGCCCAGCAGCAGACTTTGCCACACTTGTGCTGTTTGCAGAGTGCCTCACTGTTGCAAGGCCCTGGCCTGTGACCCCAAAGCTTTGGCTCCTGCAGATAGGCAGACAGAGAGACAGACAGACAGACAACTGAGCTCTACTTTCCAGCCTGTTCTCTCCCACCCTGCTTTTTTTCAGGGGCTCCTGGGTACTGCAGGTTGCACTTTCAGCTCCCAACTGCCCCCTCTGCAAAGTGGCCTCATTGGTGTGCCCTTTTCACTGGATCAGTCCTGACTAGAAGGAAGAAGGGGGTGGCCTGGCCATCTACCACAGTTCCTCCCCATGTTCCTATGGCTTTTAGGTATCTTTCATCCCAGCTGTCCCAGCTGCCCTGGGCAAGAAGACGTGTGTGTAGAGAGGCTGGTAGGTTACCCATTAACTCAGCCAGGAATTAAAGACCTGATGGGAAGCAAGCCGACTTGAGTCTCCATTCTGTCCATGGGCTTGGGCTGCTGTTTCAGGTACACAGGCACCTCCAAGATGCTTTTCCAGCCGGCGATAATGAGGATACGTGAAACACTGCAGAAGCAGATTGTGCGAGAGTTCCTGGCTGAGTTCCTAAGCATGTATGTCATGATGGTGAGTGAGTAGGTGGCATGGAGTGGGTGGGGTTCAGCAAGGGCAGTCCAGGACCCCCTCTCTACCGCTGGCCCCATGGATCATATTATCCATGAGCTCTGAGCTGGGAGTCTGGGAAGAAGCAGAGGGTTGTAAGAAGAGGGTCCTTCCTCACCAAGTCTTTTTGGGATAGAAAGGGCTCACAATATGTGTGGGTAGAATGAAACCATGGGCTGGGTGGTCAGAGGGCATGGTTAGAAGTGGGGAGAAGGGAAACTAGGGTAAAGAGATTGAAGAGAACTTTGTTTTTTTGTGTGTGTGTGTGTGTCCGGCAACGGATCGCAACCCTCAGTGTCGCACCCGTACCGGACCGGGACCGGCAACGGGATCGCAACCCTCGGTGCTGCACCCGCACCTCACTCAGCCAGTGAGCGGGAACCGGTCTGTATGTGGGATCCGAACCCTCGGCCGGAGGGCTGCTGCGCTCCCAAGCGGCCCACCGTAGCAGTGCGCCACTGGGCCGGCCCCGAAGCGGAACTTGAAGGTCAGGCTCCGGCCACT